CTAAGATTGAATGCTGAAGGGGTGTGAGAATTTTGCGGCTCAAGTTAACTACAGTTTGGCCTAGCGGTGGCCTCTCAGTATTTTTATCCCCAGTAATTAGTTTAAAGACTTACTCGATGCTTGAAGCTGGTGTATCCAAAACAAATAAATGCTGTTTGCTGTTTCTGGAGACCAATGAAGATTATCAACTGGTTCGAATTCTTCTTCGTAGGGTGGTAAGATTGTTGCGCTGTTGGTACTGGACTCCATCATCATGTTGTTGAGAGTGCTGAGGTTCTGTTGTGCTTTCTTCGAGATTTTATTTGAAATGGGTATACATGTGAAGAGGATCTTGGAGTTTGGGAAGGTTTTGTTGGCTGTGGCGATTAATTTCTGGGCTTTGTTAAAGGAGGTCTTTGGTAGCTGATCACGGTTGTTGAGGCCTACATGAAGAATAATGGTAGTAGGTTTGGGATCATGGTCGTATGATTCCAGGATTGACTGTATGTGATGGATTTGGGCACCGGGGTAAGAATGTATTTCAGTGTCTGAACTGGTTTTGGTAATTCGATTCAGGTTAGATGATCCAATAATTAAGGTAGATTTCTTTAGAGCGGGTAGCTTCCATAATGATTTGTCCTTGGTTTGGTGATAATACGGTTTGGTAGCGGATATAATGGTCGTCGACGGTGTGATTGGTACTGGTTTGGTAGTTGTTAGAATTGTAGCATTGGGAACGGACTGGGATCTGGTTCGAGGGGGGGAAGGTCTGGATATACGTCTCGACTTCGATGGAGACTGAGGGGTGGTTTGCTGGTCCAAAAACGCACAGAAGGAAGAAAGGTTGGCAGATCCTGGATCACGTGGTGAAGATTCAGATGGTGCGGAAGGGGAAGACGAGTCTGAAAGTGAAAAGAGAAGGGGAGTGCCCTCTCTACGAGAGCGTTTACCTATGTCTGCTGGACTAGGAGTAGGTGAACTTCGGGCTCGTTTAGGGGTTTGGTTCGGCAGCGTCGTGGCTCTAGATGGTGCAGGTGTAGTGTCCATTTCAGTTGGTAGAGATATGGTTACTCTGGTTTTTGTTTCGTTGATTGTTTGGTAGAACTTGGTGATTACAGCTTGAGTGAGACGTTTCCCATAGGAGCGACGGGCCCAGGACAGGGCATGAGAAACGATGCGGTCGACCGCAGCTGATGATAAAGACTTGGTACGAATGTGGTTTGGTAATGGTCGATCAGGACCTGCGTAACCTTAGAGAGCCATGTCCGATTGAGGGATCTAATATTCGCGTCAACAGCTGATGTTTTCATTGCTGGACGGATAAAACTATCCAACTCAGAGACTTTGCGTTTGAAGGTAAACGCTGGTTGGCCTTGCTGTTGAAGGGTAAGGATTGCCAAATGATGGAGGCACTGCAAAACTTGGAAGAACACCTTCACAAAGGGTTCTTCCTCCTTATGAGTGGGGACTGGTTGGCTTCGGTGGGCTGGTAGTCGTTTCTGTTGTTGGGCAGGTCGATGGTTACCTCTTGATTGGTAGGTGTTGTGGGTAGGTCGGCGATGGGGTGGGATATAGCTGGATGGGTTGGTTGGTGGTCGGCGATTGGTAGGTGGTAGAGGTCGATGGAAGACAGGGCCGTTGTAGGGTACGTGATATTGGTTTGGTTGACGATTAGTGTTTCTATGTCTGGCTTCTTGCCAGTGGTTGTTGTAGTTGGGGAGCATAATGAAAATAACTTGAATAAATGATGTCGTATACGAACCACCGCAGTACGGTGTCAATACCGCAGTACGGTGGTTCGTATACGACATGCTTAATTTTTTTAATTTTGATTTAAAAAACTTGAATATGATTATTGTTTAGCATTCATTTTCTGTTACTTTGAATTGTCGGTGTGTGTTTTGTTGAGAGATTTATTTTTGTAACGGAAGTTATAGTTTTGGCATTGGGTATTAAAAACATTAGATTATTGCGTTACTATCGCAATGCCATATTTACTCTTTTCGAAACAGCTGATGGTACTTTTCTTTGGAGGAGTCCACTACTATACAACTTTTACTCTCGTGTTCAAAGTCATATCAGGCCTTCTGGTACCAAGAATACTACTGCGCATCTCATTGCGACCGCATAAAATTAATATATTATTATGATAACCTGAGAGATTCAAATGATATCTTCAGAGGTGTGAGCATTTGACAATCTTTGACAGTTTCCATAGAGCTGAATCCCTCTCGCTAATGATTGGTAGATTTCGTTATGTCTTCATGGGTGAGACTCTTTACTCCGAAGTCTTACAATGATTGGTTAAATGATAGTAATATTGCGACCTGAAGATAGTCCTTAGCTTTTCAGCTCTTAGAGGATAATTCTGACATTTACTAATGCATTAATTGGTCCATCGTGACTATTGGTTGGCTAATGGAACATTTTAGATCCACTTTTGACGAGGTTTTGTTTTTGTTGGTTCTGTTTACAAACACTTGTAGTCCCGAACGACCAGAATCCTTAGATGCATCACGTGATCATGTGTCAATATCGACATAGTTCCGGCAAAATATGTCTGCCATTCATTACCGTGATATGTAAGCCGTAGGGTAGGGAACCGCCAATTCCAAACATCCTGATACCAATTTTCACAAACGTAATTCTGGGGGTGGGGGGGGGGGCAATTTC